GCAGTAACGGGGAGTTTTGAGCGTAATAAGTATGACGGTGGAGGATCAGTGGGGGGATATGGCGGTAGTGAGAAGAGACAGTGAGGGATGTGGGATGCAATAAGTGTTACCAATGGGACCCATAATGGGGTGTAACGTGGAGTGGGAAATGATGTCAAATGGCATTGCAATGAAGGCGTGCCAACGCTCCGCTTAGAAAAAAAAAATAAAAAATAAACCCATGAGAAAAGCCCATTAAAAAAACCCCCAAAGAAACCAAAATCAAACCCCAGTAGATCCAAAGAAGCTGCAATGGAACTTTGGGATGAAAAACACGAAAGAGGGGTGAACCTCCGGGGGTGTCCCACGTGGCCGCACACGTGACGTCGCACGTGGCCACACACGTGACTACGGCCATGGCGGCGGCGGCGGCGGCGGCGGCGGTGCGGGGGCGCCGCTTCAAGTGGTCGCTGGACCTGGGGGCGGCCCCGGGGGGCCGGTGAGGGACGAGGGGACGCGGGGGGGACGCGGGGGGGTCTGGGTGCCGGCACCCCCACTCAGCCCCGCCCTGTGCCCGCAGGCCCCGTGGCGCCGCCGAGGGCCGCGGCCCGCTCGGGTTCGCCGACCGGCAGCTGGGGGAGGGCGGCGTCCACGAGAGCGACAAGATCCTCATGGAGAAGGTGGGACGGGGGGAGCCCTTGGGACCTCCTGCGGGGCGTCCCGGCTCCGGGGGCCCCCCCAGTCCCGCCCTTCCCGGAGAGTGGCCCCTCTGTGTCCCCACTCCTCGGGACCCTCACGGAGGGTGCTCCCTGTCCCATGGGAGTGGTCTCTGCCCGGGTCCCCCCCAGATTTCCCATGGAGGGTGGTCCCTACCCCAGCTCCCCCAGTATCCCGGCTTCCCCGTGGGAGGGGGTCTCTCTGTGTCCCTCCACACTCCAGCCCTCCATGGGGGTGGTTCCCTCGGTGCCCCAAATCCCACGTCCCCGTGGGGGATGGTCCCTGCCCTGGGTCTCCCCACACCCAAGGGGGTTGGTCCCTGGTGTCCCCCCACTCCCCAAGGCAGTGTCACTGTGGGTGCCCCAGCTTCCCCTCCTCCCTGTCGTTGCAGCGCTGCTGGGATGTGGCGCTGGCACCGCTGAAGCAGATCCCCATGAACCTGTTCATCATGTACATGGCTGGGAACACCATCTCCATCTTCCCGGCCATGATGGTCTGCATGATGGGCTGGCGCCCGCTCCAGGCCCTCATGTCCCTGTCTGCCAGTGAGTACAGCCCCCATGGTGGGGGTGACGGGCCCTGGAAGGACACACAGATAGACACACAGACACCCATGGACACCATGGGGCCATTGGGGGCACACAGACACCCCTGACCCCTGGGAGTCCCCAAAGCCACCACACAGACATCCCTGGGGGTCCACACAGACACCATGGACCCCTGGGGCTTCACACTGACACCCACAGGTGTCCCCAGACCCCAGAGCCCCCCAGGTGTCCCCCATAGGTCTGTGTGCCCCTGGGTGTCCACACAGACACCCACAGTCTTTTGGATGTCCTCCCCAGCCCCCCAGGTGTCTCCCACAGCCCCCCCTGACCCCTGGGTGTCCTCCACAGCCCCCTCACAGTCACCCCCATGTCAGTCCCACCCACCCCCCCCAGCACTCCCCCAGCAGCTGCCCACCCCTCACAGCCCCCAGTAACCCCCCCTGGCAGTTCAGCAGCCTGGGGGTCCCTGACAACCCCCCCTGACCCCCTCTGTCCCCCCAGCCCTGAAGGCCCTGGAGAGCTCCAGCCGGCGGGCACTGCAGGGGCTTGTGTTCCTGGTGGGCAACGGGCTGGGGCTGGCACTGGCCCTCTACAAGTGCCAGGCCATGGGGCTGCTGCCCACCCGCCCCTCTGACTGGCTGGCCTTCGTCACCCCCCCGCAGGTGGGCATGGGGTCCCCTGGGGGTGGGGGGCCTGGGGGTCCCCGTGGGAGAGCAGGGGTCCTGGGGATCCCCCAGGGAAAGGGGTCCTGGGCCCCCCAGGGATTCTGGGGTCCCCCCACTCACCCCCTTCTTCTCTCCCTTCTCTCGGCAGCGAATGGAGTTCACTGGTGGGGGCCTGATCCTGTGACCCCCCCACGCCCACTCACCAATAAAGGTGATGGCAGGATGTGATGTTGTTTTTGGGGGGAATTCAGAGGGTTTGAGGTGCCCAAGGAGGCACTGGGATGGGGCAAAGCAAAAAGTGTTTGCAGGGCTGTACTGGCAGTGCTGGGGACCACACTGGGAGCACCATGAGTGCATTGGGGGAGCTCTGGAGTCTGTGCTGGGAGTGCCCTGGGAACCTTGGGACTGTACTGAGAGTGCACTGGAACTGTACTTGGAGCCCCATGTCCCCATGTCTGGGGCCATACTGGGAACTCTGGAAGTGTACTTGAGGCTTCGTAGCCCATACTGGGATCATACTGGGAGAATGGCAACCCGAGGGTGGCTCTGTACTGGGAACACTGGGGATCATATCAGGATCTTGGTTTAAGTGTAGGTTGTGCTGGTGTTGTACTGGGAGTGCCGGGTCCACACTGGGAGTGTAGAGGCCATGCTGGGATCCTACCTGAAAAGCTGTGGTTCAGACTGGCATTTTATTGGCAGCACTGGTGCTATACTGGAAGCACTGGATCCATACAGCAGTGGTGGTGGGGGAGCCAGGGCAGCACACTGCTGTTTTCTACCCCATTTCACCACATTACTCTGCCCCAATTTCCCTGGTTTTCTTCCAGCTTCTTACCCCTTTGTGCCTCATTTTCCCCCCTTTCCCTTGTTTTTTCATGCATTTTTCCCCATTTTTGCAATAATTTCTTCCACTATTGCTCCCAGTAGAGCCCAGACCTTCCAGTATGGCCCAGTGCCCTCTCCCGGGCTGTGACTACGATCCAGGACTCCATGGTAATTCTATAGGGCCCAGAGTCCAATCCTAGTAAATCCCAGTCTCCCCTGTGACACCACAGCCGTGCTGGGGGGCCTGAGGTGGGGTGGGGGCTCCTTCCCCTATGGCCTCACCTCCCCACAGAGTCATTTGGGTTGAAAAGACCCCCAAGATTGAGTCCCCCCTGTGCCCGATGCCCACCTTGTCCCCCAGCCCAGAGCACTGAGTGCCACGGCCAGGCCTTCCTGGGACACCTCCAGGG